CATCAGCAGTTGAACTAGAGAAACAAATCCATGTTGTTTGTCTGAAAAAAGACCCTAATTATCATCATCATAATAATAGTTACTACAAGCAAAATATCTACTATCACTTCAGCTACTACTTCTCATTATTATTATTATTATTATTATTATTATTTGATTTCTGCTATGGTCACACTACCTACCAAGTCTAAGACAGGTATTGGTGTGTTGTTATGGCTACATTTCATGATTTGTTTGTCTAACTCCCATAACATCACTAGCGTTGCATGGACAAAGTTCTTAGCATGTGAGCTGTACTGATCAAGAAAATTTTTTTTTATTTCTCTTAAGCTGGAATTTTTCAATGTGTTGTGTTCCTTTTATATAATTTCAAGCGCACCCATTATGACAGGTACTATTCTTTTTTCAACTTTCACATTTTTTTCTCTTTCAATTTCAAGGTCTTTCTACTTCGTTAGTTTTTCAAACCCCTTGGTTGCTATGTTACAGTCCGCTTGTCAGTCATATGACAGTCATATGACAGTCATATGAATTAGTAGGCAGTCTTTTTTCGTTTCGGTTTTTGATAATTATGCCCAGTTATTTCCTTCAATCTTCCTGTCTGTAAAGATGGTGTAATTCTATAGAATTGTGATGTCTTCTATTTCTGTGCCTGGTGCTGGGTGATGTTCATACCACTGTTTATTAGCATCTTTTCCAAAGTGTATGCACATTGTCCAGTGTAAATATTGCCCCACTCTATCGTGACGATTTTTATATTTATTTGGCGTAAGTACAGAACATTCTGAGATTAGATGGTCTATGATTTCCTGATATTTGTCACAGAACATGCATTTTGGATCCACACTACTATGTATGATATTTGCCAAAAAGTTTCTAGTCTTCATTTCAGACTTTAATCCATCGATGAGTGTTAACTTTATCAACATTGTCTTTATCCGCACGTTGTGGATATTTGATCATGCAAAGTTTTGTCTTGCTAGCGCTGTTTCACCTGTTTAAGAGCTTTGGTCTTGGCTTTATTTTTCATATTTTTTGCTACAACAGTTGGTTCTTGGATTCTATTTTGGTTTTCTACAGAAACTATTAAATGTAAATCTCGTTAGTATTTACAACCTTCTTTCATGATCGAATATTTTTTCTTTCTGCTTTTGTGTTGTTTGACTAATTGTAACATCCAGTCCTTTGCTGTTTCCGTGCATGTTAATAAGTCAGTAGTTGTTTTTTTATAAGACAATTCTAGCTGAATAAAACATCTTCCACTTTCTTTAGGGGGTAAATATAGACGGTTTGCATCAGCCTTTGGATGATAAATGTTATACTTATAAAGAAACTTTCGTGTCCTAGAATCCATTCGTCTGATATCATTTAGAATCTACTTCAAGGTGTTGAAATCATATTGAACCACGGGGATGACCAAGCTATTAATGGCCATAATTCTGTTTAGAGAATTCAATTCAGTTCTTAATATCAGTCGCATTCTTCTATAGTACTCTTTTCGCACTATTTATTTTATTTTTTTATGGCAAATTCTTTCACTTTCATTTACACCGAGGTATTCATGAACTTTTTCTTGCTCTAAATCTTTGAATGTTATCCCTTGGTCTAAGCTAATAGAGGATCCTCGTAAATTTGAGGTTTTAGCACATTTATCCAAACCGAATTCCATTCCAATGTAATCACTGAAACATTTTATTGCTTTCAGGGGACCTTCTAGCTCACTGTCATTCCTAGCGTACAACTATGTAAAAACAGATGTCTTATTTTCTTTTGAGATATCTTATAGCCATATTCCGTCCTGTTGTGTTCGGTGGTTAATGCTGTCAGGGATATACAAAAAAGTGAGACAAAGAATCACTTTGAAATGTTCATCTGTTGATGTTTATTTCACCAGACTCCATTTATATGATTGAGGTGAAGTGTTGTTTTCCATATCGACATACTGTGATGAAATTGATGGCGAATGGCGATAACTTGTGTTTATTTCAACTCTTTATCCAAGAATGGTGTACACTATCGAATGCCTTACGGTAATCTATCCAGGCAGTACTGAAATTTTTCTTTTTATTGAAGCAGTTTTCCAAGATCACTTATGATTACTTAGTAATTGGTTTTTACATCCATAAGAGCCATGTTTGCACTCTTTTTGTTGAAGCGGTAGTATGTCATATTTTTCTAAGAAGCAACACATCTGTTTTGTCAGAATAGATGTTAACAGTTTGTAAGTAGTAGGAAGACATGTAATTAATCTGTAGATTTTTAGGACATTTGTGTCACCATTTTTGTGTAGAAGGAAGGTAATTCGTATGGTTACCCATGCCGAATAGAATCATTGACCATTTCTTGAAGTTCTTTGGCTAGTTTTTTTTGTGTGTTGTATTTAGATAATAGAGCCAAAAGTTAGGAATTTTATCTATTCCTGGAGATTTCCATTTGTTTGATTTTTTCATTGCACATTCAACTGTGATTCCCGCCCATGTTTGTTCTGGTTTATTTTTCATCCGTTCTACCTCTTGCGTAAGCAAATCTGTTTTTTTTTTGTTTGGTACGTTCTTTAGGGCAAGTCCATATTTTGTTTCCAGAACTCTATAACCTCTTCCATTGCTGAGGCGGCGGTGGTGGTGGGGGGATTGCCACCTCAATTTTTTCTTTGCCTATTTCTCTGTAAAATTTATTCGCATCGGTTTGAAAGTTTTTGTTCTGTCTGTAGAATCTTGATTTTTTTTCATAGCGTCTGATTCCTTGATCCTTCAGTTCTAATATTTGTTTTATTTGTTCTTTAACTGATGGGACTTCATATTTATTCTTAATTTTGAAGTTTCCTTTTTACTTTTCTGTCTTTTCCCGTCCTTACATTTGTTCCTTTTGCCATTTGATCGAGTAATGATCATTCACTTCTAACTTATTCAATTTCTTCCTCAGTTTTTCTTTTCCAAGGTGAATCTTTATGTTTGTGAGACTGTTTTTACTTTGTTGTTTAATTTTTTAGTTGTTGCTAATGTTGATGCATATATTGCTTCGTTGAGACTTATATATGTGTCTACTTCACCCAGTGTTGCATTGTAGAATTTAATAGTTTTGAGGTTCTGCTTTGTTGGTTTTAATTTTGGGAGCTGTTCTTCCTCCATTTCAATATTTTTTGTCTGACTTATACACCTCATGATTTCTTCCCTGGCTTCCTGTATATTATTCTTGTTTTCCGTAAAATAATTCGGTTCAATGTGTTTTTGAACTCGTTTTATTGCAAGCTTGTGAGCGATTAAGATCATGCTTTCCCAACTCTTCTAAACAGTGATTGGTGTCTATCTCAGTTTCTTCGTTATGATCTGTGGTTTGTGTGATGTTAGTACTTTTTATGTCCATTTCTGGTTCCTTTATCATGTTGCAATTCTTTTTATTCCTTTAATTTCAGCATCTCCCAATCGGTTATTTCTCATTATGTACCTTCTTATACTGGTTAGTTTATTTTCGTCAATGTACTTTCTAATTGCTTGTCTAACCTTTCGGCGAGTGATGCTTTTCTGAGGTTCGTGCGACGCTTCATTGAATGCAGTCATAACGAGTTTGTACTTCTCACGAGACCATTTTACCTTTTCTTTCTTTAAATGAATGGTTGTGGATCAGGTAGATTTCGTAGGGCCACCATTGAGCTTTTCCCGGAAGATTTTCCTGATGATCATTATTATTATTATTTTTTTTTTTTACTTTCTGTTCAGTACTATATATTTTAGGTTCAGTATCCAAGACCTGGAGGCAGGCAATGTAATAAATATATTAATTATTGTTTGCATAAATTCTGATGTTAAGTTATACTTAACATATACGGTGCTTATATTTTATTTAATAATCTCTTGAACAGATTAGCAGTTCCACACAGTGCAATATTTTTAATATCATGTAAAGAGAGGTTGTAAGGGATCTTATTAATGTCGTTGTTTGTACTTTTTTGATCGTTATTTTCACATGAGAACTTCCAACAGCAGCAGCAGTTAAAATGGATATCACATATAGCTCAAAGAGAAAATAATGACATAATCAAGATATTAAATTTCCACACTACTCCAAATAAAAGGTTATGAAGGAAATTCCCATCGATACTGGAAAGAGCGATAACAGCTACTGGACTTGAGAAATCTATTTTCCTGAAAAATTGTTCTAAGATAAAGATTTTAGAAATTTCAACCGACAGTGTTACTGGCTGCTTGATCAATCAATGTCAAATGTTTCCTTATAAGGAAACGTCTAATATTAACATTATAAGTATTACCATTATTATTTGTCTTTTTGCACAGTTTTTTTTAATTTTTAGGTGGTTTAGGACATTGGATATCAAGATATATCTTACGATTTTAGGTATTCCATACTTTTCTGTTTATTCCCGCTGTTCCAAGTAAACAAATCTTCTGCAGTACATAAAATATCACCAGTAAATCTAATTCTTACGCCTAATGGGCAAAATTCTATGACTTTTTCTAATGCTTTGATTCCAAAAGACACAATTTCGACAATTCCCTATTTAGTACTTTAGGCCTGTATAATTCTCAATGTTTTGTTCTTTCTTGACAAGAAGGATAGAAAATTGAAAACTATCATTATTATTATTACAAACAAATATTTCTGCTTATTGATTATATACAAGCTTAATTATGATGATGATGATAAGTATAATAATAATAATTGTTGTTGTTGTTGTAGAGTCCATGTGCAAGAAACGTGAGTTTGATGTTAATAGAGTTGATAAAAAGCTAACGAAAGTGACAATGCATTAAAAAAGCTCTGTAAAACAAAGAAAAATATGACAAATGCAATTACTGAGAAATAAATATGAGCAACCAAACCCCCCACCAAAAAAAAAAAAAACAAAAAGCAAAAGACAAATCAAATCAAATAAAAAATAAAAAAAATATAAAAATCGAACAACAATAAAAACAAAAACAAGAGAATCAAAAACAAAAGAAAACACATAACAATCAGTATTAGATAAACAGCATAGAAATAACGTAATAAAACGAGAAAGAAAGAAAAATGGGTAGGAAAATGGGTGAAAACATCTCATCTTTTCGCGAGTGAGTGTGTTGTTTTTGGTGCGTGTGTGTAAGAGAGAGAGAGAGAGAGAGAGAGAGAGAGAGAGAGAGAGAGAGAGAGAGAGAAATGCACCCAAACAATCCTTAGAACATGAAAACAATAGAAAATATTTTTGTTTAAAAATATGGATTCACTGACTGTAAATAAAAGACACAAGAATTAATGAAATCGCGCGTCCGTTTTAAGAACGAACTATCAAAGGCGAATCTCATAATTGTCAAATGAAATCGGGCTCTGCCTGTCACAGTGGTCGGGCTGAAAATTGTGTTGTTCTATGAGATAATTTCCTTGTTTCAGGGGGCCTCGTCCAATAAAACTATAGAAAGTCACTGATTTCTGACATTAATTAGAAATTGTTTTCAACACATATTGTCTTATTTTTACCTGGATTGACAATTAACTATATTAGAGTGAGCATTTCACTCAACAGTCGGCTGCTGCCTATTACAGATTTTCAATATGAATAAGAGAAAAAGGAAGAGGACAGGGGAGAGTAAAGAGGAAGATAGAAGAAGCATTTAACAAAAAACAAAACAAAATAGGAAGAAAGAAGGAGAAAGAATCAGAGTAAAATATAAAGAAAATGAATGTTGAAAATGTAATATTTTTCCTTCCTTGAGTTGATGAAATTTCTTTTCGTAGATAACAATTCTTATTCTCTCCTTTAGTTTCCTTTGCTGTCATCTTTGCGTTAAGGTTCGATTGTTAAATATTAACGCATTCAAAGTGAACTTTTGGGATGTTTTTCTTCAAAGATACTTATAAATCTCTTATTTTGCGATATAAAATATATATTTAATACAATAAGTTGCTACAAAATTGATAAATTCATCATACATATATAAATATAAACATACATATACTGCCGCTTAAATTCCTCATACGTTTATACATATGTGCACAAATACATAAAATAAATACATATGTGTGTTTCATATTGAAATTATAAATCTGTTTTTTCTAAAAACGGTTATCATTTGTTTGGTTGATATGTATTAAGTACAGAAATCTTAGTTTGCAGCTGACTTTATCTACAGGTGACTGTTATAGACTTAAGATACTGCTATCACATGAATTTCGGTAAAGATGTCAAATGCATCTGGGAAAAGATAAGGACGCGGTATTGTGTGCGAATAATGCTTTGAATAAAATAAAAATCACCTGAGAATTGTGAGAAGAATGAAATAAATCATTAACATTGAGAGAGATATATTGATGGAGACAGGATGTAAGAGAGAGAGAGAGAGAGAGAGAGAGAGAGAGAGAGAGAATTGGGAAGATAGGACATTGTTTAGGCTAGTGTGGACAAAGTGAAATATACAGATATTTATCAACTGACTGATAGACAAATCAACAGAATCAAATATGAAAAATCACACATACACTCGCGCACAAACAAATATATAAACTGATAGATAAATATATAGACAGATAAACTGATATAAATAGACTGAACAAAAAGAGAAAGAGAGAAGTAACAGAAAGAGTGAGAGAGAGAGAGAGAGAGAGAGAGAGAAGTGCGAGAAAAATAGAGGTATGGAGTGAAAAAGAGGCAGTGATAAGCGACAGAGACAGAAAGATAGACAGGTACTGGTGGTGTTTGACGTGTTGGCCAAATTATTGAAAGTGGCACGCTTCGAGAACTTTTCGACACCCATTTTTATACATGCAGGAGGAAAACAGTCACTTTTAAATAAACACTTATGAAATATATCAACTAATAGTATATATAAATTATTTTATAATAATGATAATAATAATAATCTCTCATATCTCTCTCTCTCTCTCTCTGTATATATATATATATATATATATATATATATATATATATATATATTATAGTATGAGGCAAATGAGTTCAGAAAGCTTTTGAGCACTTTCTCTAGTATTTAAAACTATACATAAATAAGATATTTCTGCCGAGATTTGAAATTTGTATCTTTGCTTCTTCCATCAAAATACTTGATGCATTTTGTTTCTGTTTTCTTTTTATGCATTTTATTCTAAAAATTAAGTTGTCTATATATCGTTTATGTGAAATACGCTAAGTTGTCCGTAAGCTTTATTAATTGTTTTATTAAAATAAATTACTATTAATTAAAAGAGATATGTAGACAATAGTAAAAAAAATGGTATTCTGGTATCATTATTGCTTATCTATATGGCGGTCCTGTGAATATTATGTATCCGACCAACTTATCAAAATCTGAGCAAATGGTCAAACATCAAGCAACTTCTATATATCTAATCTCGAAAATAACATTTTTAGCAAGTTTAAAACACCTCCATATACCTTAGATAGACGATATCCTTTTATCAGTCAAAAATAAAGAGATATGTAAACTCCAAAAAACTGTTCCAAGACAACCCCGTCCTTAAGTTTACAAAGGTACTTAATACTAGTAACAAAATTCTCTTTTTCGATATACTGATTAACACCAATAATAATAAGTTCACCATCTCCCCATATAAAAAACGTACCGGCATGAATTCTTGTATTTTTAACTATAGAAGCGAATGTCCAAATTACTATAAAATAGCTATTATAAAAAAAACAAAAAACTAATAAACCATGCAAAAACTAATTCATCCACAAAACAGATTTTCTACAACAAATTAAAAAAATATTAAACAAACATTCATCAATAACAACTTCCGCAACTACATTGTTGATGAGCAAATAAGACGCTCCATCGCTGACCCCTATACAAAACATATAGAACATAATACCCTTCCAACTAACCCCAAACATATCAACCTTTTATATCGTAACCTGATGCATGCTAACTATAAATAAGACGAAAATATCCTAAAAAAATAATAAAAACTAATACATCCACCACAGACCTTAGTAAAAATTAAAACATTATATCTAATAAAATCCACTATATCTAATAAAATCATTCGTAATGACTTTTCCCCGGCCACTTGCGTGTTGCAGAAAACCAACATCGTTTATAAATTTAAATGTCCTCTTGGAGACTGCATTTCCAACGATAAAAATAATATCTATGTTGGACACACGACAACAACGCTTTCACGTAGGCTAAGTCCTCACCTGAATAATACTTCCAATATTTCTAAACACTTATAACAACATACCTGTCCACACTCACAATTCCGAAAACTCCTCGTCGAAAATATCTTCATATTTTCCACGAAAAGAATAAATACAAACTGAAAATTCTCGAAACTATTTATATAAAAAATTGAGACCAAACCTCAATAGAATTAATTATGAAAACTCTACAAACATTTAAAAATATAGTCTTTAATTGTTAGCTCTTGTCATTAATAGTTTTTCCTTTATCCAGCAACTACTCAAGCCCGGAACTTATCTACAGCACACGTAGTTACCTCCCCTTCAATATATATATATATGTATACATTATAAATTCTATTTATGGCAAAAGTGATCTTTTTTGAAAATTCAATGCCAAATGAAACCCCCTCAATACGTAACCTATGATGACCAATCAGAATACAATTATATAAAAATTAAAAAAACATGTTATATTATAAATACAAACCGTTAGTTGATTACAGTTAATACTAGATCAAATCAGAAATCAATATGAAATAATTAACCTTTAATTTATGATAAAATTATAAATTAAAAATCAGAAATTTCAAATTTCAAATTAAATAGAGATTAGGTTAAAAATATTATAAATTATTCAAAAATAGAACGGAGGAAAAGAAAAATATAAATATATATATATGTATTATCATTATTCTTATTTAAAGTCCAATATATCTAGTAAAATCAATGCTGATGTGAAAAGTATGCACGAATGCTACAGATCTCAAACGACAGGACGCAAATATAAGAATGACAAAGAGAATAGAAGAAGAAAACGAGTAAAATAAAAAGAAAGAAAAAAGGAAAAAAGAAAAAAATGAAAATTTAAAATTTAAACATAAAAAGAAAAAATTAAAAGAACAAACGGATAAAAACATAAAAAGGAAATTACAACTGAAACAAGCGTGTAGAAGTGAAAACAAAATACAAGCAATCAGACATTGGTATTCATATACAAATAAGCAAACTCACCAAGATTTAAGCACAGATATAAACATAAAACATCACAAACTACCCATAACAATTATATACAAGAACAAACATATAAATAAAAAAGGGGGTGGATTATGAAATAAAGGTAAAAAAAATAAAAAATATAACGTATGTAAGATGCATAAGTAAACAATCTAAATAAAGAAAAGGAAAGATATGTACATATACACACACATATATAGACAGCCACATATATACGTATGTAAAAAAATTACAAATACATACATATATAAACATACATATAGACATAAAACTTACACACACATTCGCGCAAATACAGTCACCTAGAAAAATACACCCATATAAAACAGAAGTAGAAAACAAATATACTAACATACATACGCACATTCCTACCAAGATAATACTAATAAATTCGGAGCCCATGCAGAATTAATGCATTAAGGATCACAACTATTCAATATGAACTTGATTATCTATGCTAGCTTAAATCGATAGCAAATAAGAATAGATAATAATTAATGACAATAATCAAGTTAATATATATATATATATATATATATATATATATATATATATATATATAAAATTTTGTTATATATATATATATATATATGTATAAATACATATATACATACATATCTGTACAAGTTTGTAAATAAAAATAAAATAATTAAAGAACCAATAAAAAATAATAATAACAGTAAAAAATAATAGTAATACAAACTAATAATACCGTTCCAATGTCTAACCAATAACACTTATACCCAGATTGCAAGGTAAATGATGTGCAATGTTTGCAGTCAACAGTTACTTCATTCCTTTGATTTAATAGATTAATCCTGTCTCTAAATTTAATGATTTCCAGTTTTTTTATTGAGACAAATACAGCATGGTGCATACAGAGAATTAGTGATTCGAGCTCTTTTGATTAATTTCCATTTGACAGTAGGAGTTTTGTTTTTCTCTTTTAAACTTCAAAAGTATTTAGACAATGAAGTGCTATATTTTTGAGGACTGTTATTGAAGGAAAACACATGCTGATACCAACGGATTTTAAACGTATTTTTAGTATTTCCAATGTAATTTTAAAAAAATATTTGGGTTTTCAAGGGTAGAAATAGTACTATGATATACTAGGCTATTATTCTACAACGACAATAATTGGGGTTCCTACAATTACATCTGCATATATATATATATATATATATATATATATGTGCGTGTGTGTGTGTGTGTGTGTGTGTATGCGTATATATATCTTTTTCTGTTGCTTTGTTTATAGCCCGATGTGTCTTTTAACTACCTATATATATGCATCGTACATATATATCATTTTTTCATTTTTTTTTATTTGATATAGTTTTTATCTTTATATAATTGTGTTTGACAAAATTTTATTTTGCGTGCTTTTATATATGTGTTTGTCTCCATTTTTACTTTTTTTCTATTTTTTCTATTTATGTTTTATTATTATTTATTTTTTATGTTTTTCCTTCCTCAATTTCCTGTGTGAATATACTTTCCTGCATTTGCGTGCTCCTATATTTATTCACCTTTACTTATACACACGTGTTAGTGTATTATTATGTGAATGTGTTTGTGCTGTCATTTGAAAATATCCTTCCCTCTCTCTCTCCTTATTTGAATTCTTACTTCCATGTATCAAAAATGTGTAGCGATCAGAGATGCTTGTTTTTTATCAGCGTCGAACTTCACTGATAAATTGGCACTTCGCTAAGGACAATAATAAATTATAAATATTTTCTCTCCTGGTTTCATTTCTGAATAATCTTAAAATAATACTAAACGTTATGGCTGGTTAACTTTAGAATTTGAAATTTGTAATTTTAAATTCAACTGTTAACTTTAATTTTCATATTTATTTCTAATTGAATCTACCACTACACTTGTATTCTAATTATTCATCGAGGGTTACGTAACAATGTTTCCCCTACTGAGAGGGTGTGGTTGGCTTTTGAAATCATAAAATCGTTTGTTTTCCATTCAAGATCATCATTTGAAACAAAATTTATATATATATATATATATATATATATATATATATATGTGTGTGTGTGTGTGTGTGTGTGTAAAAAATTCGTGGGTAAGTAATCCAAGTAGATCCTATTAATATGAAATATTAAAACTGATCCACAAAAGAGAGCTCAATATAATTTTTATTATAGAGCATATAAGTAAATTACAATTAATTATATTCCAATAATTCACCTCATATAGATGATGATTTCGTCCATGAGAAAGTAGTTTTTCCCCGAACTTATCAATGTAAATACATTCACTAAAGTGCCATTTTAGTCAATGTATTTGCATTGATAAATTCAGGGAAAACTACTTTCCCATGGACGAAATGATCATCTATATGAGATAAATTGTTTGGATCTCATTAATTGTAATTCACACACACACACACACACACACACACACACACACACACACACACACACACACACACACACACATATATATATATTGAGTATATTTTAACAGCATGTATTCATTAAGATATGTATCATTGAATAATTTAGACATATTTTCAGTAGGATCCTCTCATATTCACGGATAATTTTTATTAGTATCATAATCAAA